ACTCTAATTTGTTCTTTCTATATAACCCTTCAAAATAAAGACAAGAATTTGATCTGTATGAGTAGGTTCCTTCAAGCCTTTTCCACATTGAGCATGTTTTTTTTTTTTTTTGAGAGGTTTTTTTTTTCGCTATAGGGCGCGTGCACTCGCCAGACAGACAGAGACACAGAGACAGAAAGCGAGAAATCACCCCCCCCCAGGGGGGATGGTCACGCTGCAATCCCTTCTCCTCCATTCTCTTCTCGGGATCCTGGGCACGCACGCACACGTGCCTGGTGTGAGTTTTATGCCACCGGGTCCAGGACATGAACCGTGGTCGACTACGTGGGAGTCCAGCGACATAGCCATTACGCTAACTGCTGGTTCCCAACATTGAGCATGTGGATTCTCTGTGTCTGGCAAACTCATATTGATCCTTAATATTATTTGAAACATCACCTACTTTATACAGCTTCTACTAATATGCCCTCTGCAAGCAAAATTAGGCTCTTTTTCTTCTGTTGTCCTATGGTATTTCATTATATACCTACACTAGAACACTTAAAATTTTTGAGATTATTAACAATCTCTCTTTTCCTCCACCATAGATTTGACTTTGGAATAGACATTGTATTTTATTCACTTCTGAATCATCAACTGCTTTATATAGAGTAGGTTAAATGCTTATTGAATAAGTAAACTATACCATTGCTCACCGATTAGACTACATAATCTGAGCCCCTGTGATCTCTCTGACCTCATCACATTTTCCCAAGCCCACTGTCTTAACCACACCACTTTCCTTGCTGTCCCTTGAACATCCCAAACACACTTTGCACCTGCTGGTCTTTCTGCCCAGAAGAATCTTTGCTCAAGTACCTACATGGTTTACTCTCTCAGCTCTTTTAGGTGGCCCCGATGTGAACTTACCATGGTGGTCTTCCCAAGTTATCCTGTAAAATATACCCCATACACACCAACGTTCTATCTTTGTCCCATTTTTTTTTCCCTAATTTGCCACTTGATAAATATATATTTACTTTGATCTTTTCAGTTGCCTTCCTCCATTAGAAAGTAAACCTCATGAAGGTAAGGGCTTTGTTTTGTTAATCTTCTGTATCTCCTGCATCTGGGACATTGCCTGGCACACAGGATAATGTGTTTAAGGAATGAATGTGAATGTACCTTCACAGCAATGTACAGCACTGGCAGTTTAGCCACCAGAGCAGTTAGTGCTTTGAAATTGCTACCAAAACAAAAAACTGTGTAGATCCTAACTCACAGTGTAATTAGACTTGGAGGTCCGTTCCTGTTGCATCATAGCAATGAACCTAATGTCTTTGGCTAACCCATTTTCAATTTCTCTAAGTTCCCTGTTTTCTTAACTGAAGATTAAAATACGCACATGTATTGCCTGTATCCATGAATTGTGAAAGTCATAAAGTGATAGGTGAAAACACATTCTAACACACAAAACCCTATAAAAATGCAAGAGTCAAGTATCTCTAAAATATATTTGAGAAATATTTAGGAAATAAAGCATAGACAGGTTCTAAGATAGCAATAATGGCAGATACTCATGAATTAGAATGCTTACAGCTAGTTATTCAAGATCATAAAAATATAAAATATGAATTTGGAAATATTCTATTTGCTTTGAAGAGTTCTCATTACTATTATAAGATATAAGGATAATCTAAAAGATGTAAAATCTCATTTGTAATCTGTCATTTATAGCTTACTAGAGTTAATAGATGGATTATAGCTTTACTTACCCTACAGGTAAAAAATGACATAGGATAAGATCAAGCTTTCTCTGTTCATGCCAGAAATGTCTGAAGAGTAAGGGTATCCATGGAACGACAGCTGTGGGACGAATTATGAAGGCAAGTGCCACAAGGGATGAGTACTTGACACTATAAACAAGGAAAAAGAATGATCAAAACAACTGACAATTAACTTTGAAGTTTTCTACTATTTACACTGTGCTCTAATGCTTTTTAAAAGTTTATTCATTCGGGGCCAGCCGGTAGTATGGTGGTTAAAGTGCTGGACTCTCAGATGGCCAAGTGCAGTTCAAGTCCCATACCTAGAAACTTGAAACTCATACTAAGTGTGTGTAATCGTGTGCCCAAAATCCTGAGAGGAGAATGGAGAAGGGCTTGTGTCAAGGCCATCCTCCTTGGGGGGTGATTTCTCGCTTTCTCTCTGGCCAGTGTTAAGTACCCTATAGCAAAAATAACTCTTACAAAAAACTATTCATTCTGAGACAGAAGCACCCTCAACAGGGTCTCATGCTGTGATCCTTACCCCAGTTATCCCAGCTAGCCAGGATCATGGGCATGTGTGTGCATGCCAGGCACATACAGGTCACCTTGGGAACCAAACTCTGGTTTTCCATATGGTTTCCAGCACTGTAGAGTGTCATATTACTGCTGTGCCACACAGCTGGTCTTCTTCTTCTTCTTTTTTTTTTCCCTTTGGAGAGGTTTTTTCTATAGGGTGCGTGCGCTCACCAGAAAAACAGACAGATAGCAGGAAATCTCCCCGCAGGGGAATGGCCACACCACAATCCCTCCTCCTCCATTCTCTCAGGATCTTGAGTACACATGCACATGCACCCAGTGTGAGTTTAATCCACCAGGTCCAGGACTTGAACTGCAGTCAACTACATGGGAGTCCAGCGACATAGCCATTATGCCAACTGCTGGTCCCAAAACAGCTGGTCTTGACAACATTTTTTAAAAAAGGCATTTTCCTTTTGGTATAAATAATTACATTAACTCTGGTAAGCTAACTATCTTAGTTTCTCAAACTGAGCAGTTGGCTATGTGGGGTTCAGTTCTCTTAACCACCATGCCACTTGACTGGCCCCATTTATTTTATTTAATAGATAAATGATCAGGTTTCTCCAAAGGGCTGTAAAAAATTCAGAAAACCTTTCTCTAAGAAAAAATTGGACATTTAAAGAAACAGGGTCATTTAGGCAATGATGGGCTTTGAGTACTTGAATACATACTTTATTTTGAAAGCTAATTTTACCTATTTGAAAGATATACACACACGCATACACAACTGATAAAAGTCTACTATACAGGGAACAGCAGTTAGTGTAATGACTATGTCACTGGACTCCCATGTAGTCGACTGCAGTTCGAGTCCTGGACCTGGTGGCTTAAACTCACACCTGGCGCATGTATGTGTGTGCCCAAGATCCTGAGAGAAGAAGGGAGGAGAAGGGATTGTGGTGTGGCCATTCCCCTGGGGGGTGATTTCTCACTTTCTGTCTCTCTGTTTCTCTCTGTCTTTCTGGCGAGTGCACACACCCTATTGCAAAAAACTTTCTACACAAAAACAAAAAGGCTACTATACAAATCTATGTAATCCTCAATAAAAATGTACATTTTTATTAAAAGAATTTCAATAAATGGCTGAAAGAGATGATTTCATCGTCATGAGGCCTATAGAAAGTAAATTATGTGGGAAAATATTTAGCCCTGCTAAAAAATTAAAAACAAGCAAAACAGAACTACTTAATGGTACCAATATATACCTATTAACTAATAAACATAAATGACTATAAAGAAATTCCTAATATTAGTGAGGATTCAAGAACAGGGGTTACGTATTCAAATGCTTAGAGACTGAATAGGTGATAAAAATAAGTGATCCAGGGCTGGCCTGTGGCCTGAGGTTAACAGAGTCAGATCTCACATGGGCTGACTGCAGTTCAAGTCCCAGACCTGGCAGCCTGAGGAACATGCCAGGCATGCACGTGTGCCTGCCCCACATCCTGACAGGAGCGAGAAATGGAGGTGAAGGCACTGCAGCTGACTATGCCCCACTCAGGAGGGGGTGCCCCCCTTTAACTGGTAAGTGCATATGTCCTCTGGAAAAAAAAGTGATGCAGCCTGGGTATGCACTGTGATGCTGTCATGAAGAAATCCTGGTCGCAAATGTTGCTAGCCTATCAGTCTTCAAAGAGAAACCAGAAATTTTGATTTTTATGTAAAAAACAAACAAACTTTGCCTACTTAAAAAAAATCATATGAGTAAAATAGAACATTCAGTTGAATGTCTTTGACTTATAAAGAACCAAAATACAGTTTCTGCAGTAGTAAAACTATGTAGTGGACTCCCAAATGTATATTTCTGGTTTGACCTTAGTCTAAAGTTTCAGACTTAAATTTCTTAATCCTTTTTGAGTATTTCTCCATTGACCACATACTGGCCCTCAAAATCAATGTATCTGACATAAACTCCAAACCCATTCGGTGTATACTGCTGGGTCACTGGGAAAGTCGGGATGCAGTTTTGCACCGAAAAACAGAAAAATATGTCCTGACTTCCCCAACAACCTAACATTTAAGTTAAAAGAATCATTTAGTTTCTTAGTCTTAAAACTTTGGAGTTACCTTAAATAACAACTTCTAATTCTAAATATCTACTTTAATTTTTTCTCTGTTCCTGTTACAATTTTATATCCAGTCCTGTCATTTACTTGGAACCTTTTCATCATCATTTTTTTTTTTATCGCCCAGAAATATTTCTTCACTTGATAACATCCTCATCTTCATAATTCATTGAGCTCATAATTTATATTAGGCCCTATGTTACAAACTTTCCATAGATTCTATTTTTATTCTTTTAGGTTTTTGCCATAGGGCACGCATGCTCATCAGAGGGAGACAGTGAGACATCATTCCCCAGGAAGGCTGGTTACATTGCAGTTCCTTCTCCATCCTCCTGGCATTTGGGGCACACATGCACACATGCCCAGCATGATTTTCAAGCTGCAAGGTCCAGGACTTGAACCACAGTTGGCCATGTGGGAGTCCAGTGCTGTAACCACTATTCTACTTGCTGGCCCCAGATTGTTACTGAATTATATGGGAGCTGTTTTATTATTTTACAGAAATAAATGCTTATGTATTCTCATACCATCTTTAAAGGAATCTTTGTTTTAGAACACTTGAATTTTAAAGGAGTGTGAAAAATGTAATTTTATTGTCAGGCCCGGCATAGGACTTGTCATACTCACGTAGAGAAGAGTGTTGTTACGTGTAGTTAGTCCTTTTGTACCATTGACCCTCCCTTCCTGACTAAATCAAGGGAGGACACTTAAGCCCAGGTAGCCAGTCTAAGGGTGACCAAATAGGGACATCAAAGCTATGTCCAAATACAGACAATGCCATGTAATGGATTTAATCAGATTCTTTCAAATTGAAAGTGAGATACAGAGAATTTTGGGCAATTGGTAGCAAAAAGAGAAATGGACAGAGATTTGCAAAAGCCCCTAAATGATGGAAGACTAAAACGGGAATTAACCAACTGTCTGAGCGGTAAAGGCTCAACACAACCGCCTTGAATTCTGGATAATTTTCCAATTCTTTTGTACAGCTGAGACAGTTGACAGTGTTTTTCAAGTCTGGCTATAAGGCTGAGATGTTCATTTATTTATTCTTATTTTTAGCTTCATAATAAAATCCTATAATGTAAATAAGTTGAGTGAATGCTTATTCTTGCAGTCAAAAGAGTCTAATGCAGGGACTAGCAGTTAGCGTAATGGCTATGTTGCTGGACTCCCCTGTAGTCGACCACAGTTCGAGCCTGGACCTGGTGGCTTAAACTCACGCTGGGCGTGTGTGCGTGAGAGCCCAAGTTCCCAAGAGGAGAATGGAGAAGGGATTGCGGTGTGGCCATCCCCGCTGGGGGGAGATTTCTCACTGTCTCTCTGTCTCTATCTTTCTGGCAAGCACATGTGCCCTATAGCAAAAAACCTCAAGAAAAAAAGTCTAATGCAGAAATTATCTTATTTGATTTTATCCTTTTTTTTTTTTTTAAAGAGGTTTTTTGCTATAGGGCGTGTGTGCTTGCTGGAGAGATAGAGACAGAGAGACAGAAAGTGAGAAATTGCCTCTCAGGGGGGTTGGCCATGACACAATTACTTCTCCTCCATTTTCCTCTTAGGATTTTGAGCATTCATGCACACATACCTGGTGTCGGTTTTAAGCTACTGGGTCCAGGACTTGAACCATGGTCAGCCATGTGGGAGTCTAGTGATGTAACCATTATGCCATCTGCTGGTCCCCCCAGTGACCTTTTATATAGGAAGAATGGACACTAGTGAATTAACCAGATATTCTGGCTTTCTCCTTTTCAGTATATTCTAAATAAAGCTATCACAAGAGAATTCTTTTGAAATCATATTTGTCATACTTCTCAAAAACCTCCAGTGGTTTCTCTCTACTACCTACAGAATAAAATCGAATTCTGAAGAAGGCCAAAATCTTACTCTAGTCTCATCTCTTATTCTCGTTTTCCACACTTCCCATCCCACTCTAGCCATGCTGGACAACCTGTCTTGAATATAATGAAGCCCTTTTATAACTCCCTCCTTTGTTCATATTGTTCCCATTGCTTGGTTATTTGTTTCCCCAGTTTATATGAAGCCAAATTAAGTCCCGATGTCTTCTATTTGCTCTTCAGAAGATCTATTCTCTCCACCCTTTCCCTGCTCTATGGGGAGCGAGGCTGATGTATATAGACTACAAGAATGGGCTTCCTTGCTTTATGGCTTCTCGTTGGTTTTGGCCAAGTGGAAAGGCAGAAGAGTCAGGTTATTTATTTCCCTGGCTGTCTTGCTGTCACTGAAGGCCGGATGTGCCTATCTCTCGGAGCCCTCTCACAGTTACAGGTCTGCGCTGTGCCCAGTAACCATTTCCTTTCCTTATTCCTTGGAACTTAGAGATGATAGAGACTTCCTGCTGTGACTAGTCCCAGGATACTATGGTGTTTCCTTATTGGCTTTCCTAATGATTACCTACATCTTTGTATATAGTCCTTTTATTAAATTCTCCTCAATTACTTGGTTGAGTATGTTACC